TTTCATGTTGCTGCTGATCTGTTTCACGTTGCTGCTGATCTGTTTCACGTTGCTGCTGATCTATTTAATGTTGCTGCTGATCTGTTTCAATGTTACTGCTGATCTGTTTCAATGTTGATGTGTTCATGCGTGCTCATCTGCTCACACAGACTCGTGTTCATGTTTGTGCTGATGTTCGATGTGATGTTTTTATGTTATTAGTGCTTAGTGTATATTTAGTTGATGTTTTTCTTAGTTCATATCTTAGATGTTATTACTGTTTTTCTTTTACATTTTATTGTTGGATGCAACTGGGACCCTGTGCACATAATTTCGCTCCACCACATGTACCACATGAGGTGCGAATGACAATAAAGAATCTCTGACTCTGACTATTAAAATGCAGCTCTGTCAGTTTTTAATCAGGAGATTTTTCTGACTTTTAACTTTTACGTCTTTACGTTTTGTTGCATGGCATTTACAGGGGCGTGCTCATATTTTTTCTAGCCTTAACTGGGTTGGTAAGAACATGGTAGAATCAGCGTGTGCACTTTTTTCTTGCCGTTGGCTCAAAAGAAGGTGGAAGTGATCACGAGCAGCAGGGAAGAAGCATATTTCTGAATGCAGAGAAAAATCTTTACTACAAGGAAGAGAGCTTCATCTAAACCAAAGTAATAGCCTCTTAGGGTGATCAAGGCTCACAGAGCTTTAAATCATTCAAAACATGGCAGCGCTACAGAGAAAAAGTTATCTCACAATCACCTGGCGGATAATATACAGCCTAACATGCAACACGTTAAGCACCCCCTCTGTCTTTATTCATTACTGTACATTGCATTGTTGCTTAGCTCTAGGCTCCCTCAAACAGTGTTTCTATCAGCCATATGGTCAAGTTGAGTGTATTCCCTGCTCTCACTGCTTGATTTGACAAATGCATCCAACATTATGTGATAGCTGATAACCATTTCAAAAGCTGCACTATGGATCAATCATGCTTTTGGCTTGTGTTGCAGCGAGTGACATAGGGACCGTTCCACCGAGAGGATAAAGATATTTCAGTCAGCAAATTCAGGAAGCAACCATCAGAGCGTCTTAAAAAATATGAAAAGGAGGAAGTCTTGTACAAAAGGATGAAGATCCTGAACACAGTTCTGATCATCGATGTACAATCGACAAAAGGACACGCTCAAGAAGTACAAGGTGATGGTTTTACCATTGTCTTTGATCCCACTAGACCAGTGCATACAAGACAGAACAAAGAAATACAAAACCCCTTGTAAGCAAAGAGTGACTTTGAATTCTCCCGAACTTCAGTGGAAATACCTTGATATTATAAAAATTGTGAACATGAAACTGACTACAGGATGATACTCTAAAGGGACCACGTTGTAAAATTCTCAGTTTAAATTATTTAAGAATACTTTTTGGAAATGGGTGGTTCTTTTAATCATACCTGTATCAGTTTACAAAGAGAGAAAATTGAATTCAATGTGTCTGAACTTGCAGGCCTGTGTATTCTGATGTGTTGTAATCACTTTGATTTGTTTCTAAAGAGGATATGTTTAAAGGATCATGGTTATGTTTGATGGGTTTGATGATATGCATGCATCCGTCTTTATAAATGCCTTATTTGATCACATATTTATCATATATTAAAATAATTATTTTAATTTCCCTCTTTCTCTATACTTTTGATTTTCATATTAGCTCAATCGATAATGCTTTGCTTTTCATTTTTTGCCTTTTGTCTCCATCCAGTCATCCATTCATCCATCCATCCATTATCTTTACCCGCTTCTTCCATTTTGGGTCGCGGGGGTCACTGCTGCCATGTCCAGCTTTCACTGTGCGAGAGGTGGGGTACATCCAGGATGGCTCTCCAGTCCATCACAGGGACACATAGAGACAAACCAGACAAACAACCATTCACTCTCTCACTCACACCTAGGGACAATTTAGAGTTACCAATCAGCCTAACATGCATGTTTTTGATCTGTGGGAGGAAACCGGAGTACCTGGAGAAAACCATCCATCCATCCATCCATTTTCTTTTACCCGTTTATTCCATTTTGGGTCATGGGGGTCGCTGGTGCCCATGTCCAGCAATCACTGTGCGAGGGACAGGGGACACCCTGGACAGGTCGCAAGTCCATCACAGGGACACATAGAGACAAACGAGACAAACAAACATTCACTCTCTCACTCACACCTAGGGACCATTTAGAGTTACCAATCAGCCTATCATGCATGTTTTTGGTCTGTGGGAGGAAACCGGAGTACCCGGAGAAAACCCACGCATGCACGGAGAGAACATGCAAACTCCACCCAGAAGGTCCCTGGACCGGGGTTTGAACCAAGGACCTGCTCGCTGAGAGGCAGCAGCTCTACCAGTTGTGCCACCGTGCTGCCCACCTGGAGAAAACCCACAAAGAAAATGAAAAGAAAATGCAAACTCCACCCAGAAGGGTCTCAGGATGGGATATGAACCGGTGACCTTCTTGCTGAGAGGCAACAGCTCTGCAAACTGATCCACTGTGTCGCCCATGTCTTGTCTGAAAATGTGTTTTTAGTTTGATTGTAGACACACTTGCATGTTGCACGAGTAAACATTTAGTGCAAAATATCTGTTCTATAAGAATCAGATGCTCCATGGCTCCATGACTCTTGTTGGCTTGACTAAAATCAGGGCATCAGTAGCAGATGCACAGGGCTGGAACAGCTGCTAATATATTCAGTTCAGTAAGACCAAAAACTGAAGCAGAAATTGACGTTGTGCATTGGTAGAGTTAGACAGGAAAAGAAAGAGAGAAAAAAATAAAAACAAATGATTAAAACAAACCCCCATGTTGAACCACCGAGCAACACATTTAAGTTGGTCCAAAAACTTGAGTTCTGTAGTCTGGATGGTTTTCCCAAAACTCTGAACATAATTTTTTTATTGTCAAGAATTTTTTTAGTGTGTATTAATGTGGAAAAAATCCCCCAAATTGTGGGGAAACATTAGTGTTTTTAGCAGTTATGTAAGGCGAAAGGTCAATTTCTCCCCCATAGAACTCCTATTGTCATAAACTTAAAGGACTTTCCAAGGGTTAAATTATGTTTCAGTCTTACAAAATATATTTGTAAAAATATGCCATACCTGTGTGAAAGAACGCTACATTAGCTAAAATTAAATCTCTGCATATTTCTGTATAAGGTTTTTGTAAAGGATTTTTAAATATAAGAAAACAATAAAATGGGTTCTCTTTAGGCTCACAATTAGCGTAGCCTGTACAAAAATCTTTGTTTTCTTCATACTCTCTGCACTATGACAAATGTCGCAGATGATAAGGTACTAACTATTAATTGCTGTTTCACTTCAAAAATGACAAGACTATTCCCTTAACATAAGGCTGGAGATCTCCATGGTCACATTTTTACTCTTCTGAGTGACAGCTGTCTTCATGCTCATACAGAAGTCCGTCTCAGATCAACATTAGGTCGAATAAAAAAACAACACATTTAACCTATGTCTGCAAAAGACCACTGTACCTGTGCACCATTTGCATCTGAGCTGTTTCTGTTCACAAAGTTTATGTACAGGATTTAATGACAAACAGCAGTCCTGGTGAAGTCCAAAATCTACTTCCTTTAATTTCCATAAAACCTTAAAACTCTTGTATTATGTTTTTTTTTTGTTTTTTTGAAAATGTACTTATTTTCACAGCACCTGGCTGTGTTGGATAAAAATATCCTCTATTCATCTTACTTACTCAAAGAAGCCACACTCGAGGACAGGAGAAGATTTGTAACCAGTTTTACTTGCAAGGGCAGACGTTCAGCACAGGTTACACAGATGTATACAAGTTGTACATGCATGGAGCCCTGTCTTGAGAATCTGGCTCGGGCAGCGTGAGAGGATTGTTTTTTATACACTTATCAGCTCTTGGCTCAGGCAGACACTGATGACCTCAGCCACACAGCGCATGCACATGCAGGATCAAATCCGCTCCTCTCTGAGAGAGAAAGGAACACTGGTACCTCAAACCCATGGTTCACGAGCAATTAACATCCTCAGTCATAGTAGTTAAAAATTATCTATAAACCTTGACCAAACATACCTTGACATATTGTTATTTAATGCCATAAATAAAATTGTAATGAGGAATTTCAATGTAAACACAATTATTGTTCAACCTCTGTTATGAATATCACGCTTTTAGTCTCAAATAAACATTTAAAAACAGTTGCATAGAACATTTCCAGGCCTTTACTTTTGGTTAGCTTTTTATACCAAAACGACCTAAATTATCAGAGATAACACAAGGAGCCAGAACAATGTTATCAACAATGTTGCATTTAAAAACATCCACTCATTATAGTCTGTATTTTCTCTCTTTTTAATTTAATTTTCCCATTTTTTTTAATGTTTTTTTTATGTTTTTTTTTTTTTTTTGCAGAGCTGAGAAGTAGCTCGTGTGGAAACCCAGGAGTTCCTCCTAAAGGCATCCTGAATGGGACCCAGTTCAACATCGGTGACAAGATCCGCTATCGGTGCGTCACCGGCTACGTCCTGGATGGACATTCACTCCTCACCTGTGTGACCACTGCAGCTGGGGTGTCAGTGTGGGATTTCCCGGTGCCAATCTGCAGAGGTGAATATGCTTTTAATCACAATAATAAAAAACATGACTTTGCATGTGATTGTTTGTCTTGAGATGATTTTGATTCAAGATATACTGTAGATGAGAGTACTTCACAGTATTTTACTCCAATGCTCCCTTAAGAATTTTTAAATCATGGGGGTGTTGAGTTTACTCTGACCTCTTCTGATTAATTGCTGGATGTTAATTGCTTTTAAATGATTGACAGACTGATGGCTGTGCAATAGTCGAAAATATCCCCACTTCAGTGCTAAAGAGTGACACAACCCTTCATTAGAGCAATAAACATATTTGCAATCTGATGGGATGGAATGATCCTAATCATGTTAAAGAGGATGATTAGTGTTTCCATGGCTCAAAAGGTTAATTAAATATTTATCTCTGGGGAACATCTAGCTTGAATATGTTAATACTGTAAGCAGGAATGGCACATCTGGGAAGATTTTGCCGCTCTATGTGGTCGTAGAAGATGTGGCATCTTCTTGTATTGACTTTTAAATTGAAATTTCAGCATCTGATGCACCAGATAAGAAACAACAGCTGTTTTCTGTTTGTGTCATATTCTGTAAGGTCCAAACTAATAATTACATAGGCTGTTTGAGAAAACATGACCAGCACCAATTTACAACTTGAAGATTTTTCAAATGCTTCATCAGCTCTGTCCTTTTTGTGCCTTGGTCTATTCTTTAAATATCCATTTCCCCATGTGGTTTTACTGTATATTTGGGACTGAATCCTTTAAAAAGGCTGTGCATAATTTTATTGTCTCATCAAGTGCTTCTGCTCAGTCATCATGTACAGGGAGGGTGACGCAGACACTACAGCACCGTGATCATTTCTTTCTGACGGCTGGTTGATGAATGACTGACTAGTGCTCTCCAAACCATGTAATTTATCTTTTCCTGTGTTTAAATGAGCCCCATTGTTCCTAACTGACCTGTATAATCTGTTCTCACATCAGCAGGATGTCGTGGCATAATTTAGGCACCAAGCAGTCCTTTTGAATACTGAGCAAGCAACTCTCTGCGTACTTTCACACAGTTTAACTCAACAAACTGATTTATCATCATGATGACATCACAGTCATATACAGTGATTGATTGGCTGGATGACTTCTGTCTTGTAATGCTCTTCAGCTTGACCAGAAACTTAAATATCAAATATCACTGACTGTCTAGTAATGCCAGTTAACACGCTTTAGATTTTTTTATAATCACATACACATAGTAATTACATTTTCTTTTAAGTTTGCTTAATAATAAATAAAAAAAATAAATAAATAAAAAACAGCAGCTTGATGTTTTTATGGTGTCTGTATGTTATTTTTCTCAAATCCTATATTCCTAATATAAAAATGGCAATCCACTAACATAGAATTTTATTTATCTTGGAGAGATAGCCTGCTAACTTATAAAAAAGTGCTCCGTAAAGCTAGAACTGTAAATTACTCATCTTTAATAGATGAGAATAAAAATAACACCAGGTTCCTTTTCAGTACCATATCTAGTCTGATGAAAAATCCTATCTCTATTGATCCATGTAGCCCTACGTATGTATCCTTTCATTTCTCCTTCCTGTCCTCTCAAACCCAGCCAGTCAAAGCAGATGGCTGCTTGTCCTGGTTCTGCTGAAGGTTTCTTCCTCATAAGGGAGTTTTTTTCTTTCCACTGTTGCCTCTGTGCTTGCTTAGGATGGGAGACTGATTAAATGAAAACTCAAAGCAGTCTGTTGGCTCCTTAGATAAATTATGTAATTAACTAATTTTTATGTATGTTGATGATTCTGTTCAGTGCCCTGAGATGACTTTTGTTGTGATCTGGTACTATATAAATAAACTGAATTGAATTGAAATCCTAATAGAGAATATCAATGTGTTTTTAGCATTCATGCATTTCTTTTTCTCCAGATCACAAACTCGTATTGAGCTCTGTGATTTCCTGAGGGAGAGGAAACCTCAACTGTTCTTTTTTATATTTCAGGCTGTTGCTATTTAATGATTGAAATCATTTCCCACATTTAGATCATTTTTGTTTAATAAATCAATCTGTTTTGTCTTACAATGAGATTATCTTGAAATAAAAACAGTTTTGATTTACTGATTTATGTATAAAGGAAGTCTTACTCTCCAGTACAGTTTTATTTTCCAAATTTTATTTATTTTTTACTTCCACAAATAACAGAAAATAACATGTTTTGACATTTTTATTTGATTATAAGTTGTTGAGGCTGTTGAAACATTTCACTTACGACTAAAACATGTCCAGTTCTCACCTTGGTTGACATTTAACCCTAAAACATGTGAAAGCCTATGTTTGGGACACATGTTATCATGCTAGCTTACTTTACAAAGCAAACTACACAAATCATGGAAATGGCTCTACAGTGTGTTTTAGAAATGTTAAGCCTGGAGAAATCAGAAAGCTGCAGATGGATGGTTGTCTTCCATGAGGATTGTGTCAGTCCTTGTAGCCAAAGGCCAGAATCTTCACTCCATGAATTCTGTTCAAGCCACAGTACAGTATATCTCCATGATATCCGAGCCTTCTGCACGTTGGCTCCTTTGATATTATTTCTTCAGAAATTCTGCCTCTTTATTCTGATCACCAATTGTTAGGATAAGCACACAACAATGCAAAACCTCTCATTCATTGGTTACCCTCCCCATTGCTCTGAATAGGCCTATGTTAGTGTTTCGTGCACTTGCATATCTGCTCTCTACCTTTTTCTTTTATGTCTTTATCTCAGCTTTCTCCTCTCAAACATCAAATTTCCACTCTAATCTAAGTCTCAAATATTTACAGCTGGCAAAAAGATTGTCAAATAGAGGCATAAAATAGTATTATGAAAGATAATACTATTTGTTAATACTAGATAATAACATGTAGAACACTAAACATACTAATGTTAAATTTTATAATATATAAAATGAGGACAATTTGAATATTGAGAAAATGTTATCAGTCATCATTTTGTAATATTTTGCATAGAATAACTGAGACTTTATGGTGATTTCCAGAATTGCACCTTTTTTTTTTCCTCACAGATTTTGTAAAGGTTTTTTTAAAGTTTTTCCGTCAAATTTGGTTGCTTTTTTACTCATTTTTTGCCTTGTATCTGATAATTTTCAAAAAAATTATATTTTTGCCATCTAAATCTAGTCTAAAAATTAGATCTTGAAATAGTTTGCTTAACTCAGCAGGTGAACCAATGTTGTGTTGACACATAACAGCTTAGCAAAGAATATTGTTGCCATGTTGTGACCATTCGGTCACAAAATGCAATTTGTCTCTTTTTTTAGGTTGAACCAATAAAAAATAACAAAACAAAACCAAGTTTGATACAAAAGTTTGTATTTTATAACCAACAAGGGGATTCCCAAAGAGCTGAAAACTTGACTAGTGGCCAATAATCTGAAGGATGAGGCATCTCTCAGGTCCTGTCTTAAGTATTTGTTGGAGATTTTTCTTCCTTATTTCTAAGAACATGACTTTTGGATAATGTTCATCTGCTGTAGACCGTTTTTTTTTTTCTTTGGCTTGACACTTTTGGCATTTCCCTCTTCAGGGGTCACCACAGCGAGTCATCCTCCTCCATCCCACTCTGTCCTTTGCATCCTATGTCCTCACTCCAACTACCTCCATGTCCTCTCTAAATTCATCCATATATCTCATCTTTGTATTTTTCCTGCATCTGCATTTCTAACATCCTTCTACCAGTATACACACTGTCCCTCCTCTGAACATGTCCAAACCATCTCAGTCAGGCCTCTCTAACTTTATTTCCCAGTTGTTCATCCTGTGCTATACCTCTGATGATCTCATTCCTAATCTTATCCATCCTTGTCACTCCAAAAGAGAACCTCAACATTTTAATTTCTCAAGGATTCAGGGTTCTTTATTTGTCATAAACACGAACAAAATTGTGTACACATGGTCCCAGTTACATCCAACAAAAGTATAAAATACAAAATAAAAACAGTAATAAGATCTAAGATATGAACTAAGAAAAACGTTAACTAAAAAGCACTAGTAGTATAAAAACAATACGCCGAACAGCATCACGAACATGAGTCTGTGTGAGCAGATGATTACGAATGAACACAGCACCATGAAACAAATCAGAAACATCATGATGTGATTTTTTCACATTGATTATCCTGGTTAGACATTCATGAGTCTAACAGCCTCAGGGTAGAAGTTGTTCCTTGGTCTAGTGGTTCTACACTTAATGCTCTCTCAGCCTCCTGCCTGAGGGGAGCAGGGCAAAAAGTGTGTGTGCTGGGTGAGTGGGGTCCTTCGTGACGCAGGTGGTCCTCTTCTTGCATCTAGAGGTGTAGATGTCTTTGATGGTGGGGAGGCTGACTCCAACAGTCTTCTGTGCAGCCTTGGGTGGGGTGGTTGTGTAAGAGTTGGGTTCAGACCTGTAATTATTGTTAATCAGTCGGGTCGGGTGGGGTTTGAAAATGATGGCTACGGGCTGGGGTCGGGTCGGATTTTTGGGGCCCGAATGCAACTCTAATCCATACCATACAGTACAACACAGTGTAGCTGGTCTCACAGCTTTTCCTTTGACCATTGCTGATGCACTTCAATTCAATTCAATTCAAAAATACTTTATTAATCCCAGAGGGAAATTAAGTGTTGTCGTAGCTCATCATCTTGGTTTCGTTCAAGAGTTGTTATAGATGCTGAGCTGTGGGCAGGAAGGATCTCCTGCAGTGCATTCAAAGAATCTGGCCACAGATACTGATCCATCCACCTGGATCCAGCTTGCTGTCAGATCTGGTGGGCCTCTCGGTCCTCCTGGGTAGCAGAACTGCCCGACTGCTGGGTATAATTCCTCCCTGAGCGATGGTCACTCCTCCCAGCAGTCTGCCGAGCTTCTCATCACCACGGACAGCCAGCTTACGGTGTTGGGGGATGATCCTGGTCCTCCCGTTGTCAAAAGCTGAGTTTCCCACCAGCTCCATGATCTTGGTGGTCAGGTACTCG